ATGGCTCTGGAAGTGATGGCGTTTTTGAAATGGTGCTTGCTCTAATGGCAGAGAGTTACAGAGGAGCGTGTCAGAAACTTTGCAGTGCAAAACGTGCAGATTCTGCAAGAGGGAAGCTTCTCGCAGGGCAAAAAGCCCAGAAAGGCAAAAAAAATTAATACACCAAAGGGAAAACCAAGCCGCCTAGCAAACATGCTACAGCAACGAGTGCAAGATTAGATGAAAATTAAACTGTCATATTTGACCTAGCGAGACTAAACTTTTCATTTTAGGGAGTTTTTTATCCACACGCTATACAGAAGTATAAACCTTTGTCTAAATATCATTAGTTATAAAAAGGTGTATTTTTCACTTATGCAAACAGAAGCCATTTTGGGAGATGCCTGGGGTTTTTTTCCCCTCGAAAGGGAAAAGATTAGATGAAAATTAAACTGTCATATTTGACCTAGCGAGACTAAACTTTTCATTTTAGGGAGTTTTTTATCCACACGCTATACAGAAGTATAAACCTTTGTCTAAATATCATTAGTTATAAAAAGGTGTATTTTTCACTTATGCAAACAGAAGCCATTTTGGGAGATGCCTGGGGTTTTTTTCCCCTCGAAAGGGAAAGAAATTATCCCTTGCCAGCATGTGGACAGCACGACAAAAACTGGGGTTTATTGCTCCTGTGTCCTGCTTTGTGTCGAGCAATGTTCAAGGGCTGATGCTGCTCGGAACCAACCTCCCCTCACCAAGAGCGAAGCCAGCGTTCCAAGAGCTGTGCAGTCTCGGCAGGGAGAGAATTACCTATTGCCAGAAGGAATGCACGGGCTCAGCGCATTTTCACCACAGCCGGCTTCAGCGGGGGGAAAGGAGGAGAGTGCTCAAGGAAACAAAGCTTTGCCTACAAAGGCTTCTTCAAATTACGTTGTACGAATGAACATCCCTGCTCACCCCGGTGTCTGAAGTTTCATACCAGCGTAAAACTGATTGCACCAGCCCAGCTTATTTCATACTGAGAAGGAAGAAAGACGGGGGGACAGGGGTGCATAAGGAGCCTGACCCTGAGCAAGGAAGCTCAGTCATCCTATTGGCAGTCAGCAAATATCACTGTAAAGAAGGCAGGGGAAGAGCAATTACAATCCTAATAATATTAGTTAATGCTTTTCTAAACTTGATAGCATGTAATCATCGCCATCACCTTTCCTACCCTTCAGTCAGTGCAGAATTCACAGTATTCTGGGAGCTACCAAAGTCGTTCATCACAGGTTTTACCTTCGTCCTGAACACGTACCTAGGTGGTCTGTTCAGTTTAGCCTCACTAACTAACTAAACCCCGTCCTTTCCAACGAACAAAAGAAAGGAATTAGAGTGCTTATAAACGTAACAAAATGCTGCCTGTGACTAGTAAGAATTTAAAAAAAATCAGTTCCTTCCACCAACTAGAATCTAATGCAAAAAAACATGTGGCAATATGCAATTCTTATTTAACTTCTGGTACGTGGTCTCACTGCAGACTTTAAGGCATCCCCATAAGCAGTCAATTAAGCACAGTAAGATGTTTAGAAATGAGCACAATCCCTAGGAATTCAGTGAGGGAGACCACTGGACAGGGTGTTTCTGTCCACAACTATTCCATTATACCATTTTTTACTGAATCAGTGCTTTTGTTACACCACACAAAATCAAGAACAGCTTCTTCTTTCATATTTATGATCTCGAGTTTAGTTTGCCTTCATTCATTCAGTTACATTTACATATGCTTCTGAGCATGGCACTGAGCTTCTTCCTCCGCCGTTATTTACAATACTTGGAAGTCAGAGATGTGGGATGACATGGAAGGGATTTAAAATACATGTATCTCACAAATTCCTTCCTTCTCAGTGGAGACTCCAGGAAATAGAGACTCAACAGCTGAACAGTTCTGGGCACTGAATCACTGGTTGGAACTTGAGGCAGTGCAACGTGAGCAATGCAGAGGGAACGTGCAGCCCGAGATACGCGCGGGGCGCGTGCTTATCCACACTACCTGCTGCTCGTCAGGTGCTCCATGTGCTGTTACACCACCGTCGCAAACGGCGCGTGCCGAGTGCACCCAGGTACGTTTACTTCTCATCAACCAAACTGGAAACCTGTTTCCTCAACACATCCACCACCACCTCTTACTCTGAACGTGCCAAGCGGCTGGATGGTGGCAAACAGACTACTCACTCTGCTGATAGGTTGAACGAGCTACAGCTTGGCTCTTTGGGAAAGCCTTGTGTAACTCTCCTTAACGACGTAACCTTCCTGTGCTCACAGTGCCAGGGAAGTGCAAAAGTGTCACACACAATCCATGAGAAAGCATGTAGCTCCTACATGGAAGCCACCCTAGAAGTTCTACAGCTTTGCACTATGTGGTGTAGGACACAAATGCAGAGACTTCCCGTCATTCTAACACTTGGAAGTCTAACAGCTACCAATTCCTTGGAGGACACAAGTATTACTGTTACATTCCTGTGTTTTAAGATGAAGTATTTAATAGCTTTCATATTAAAAAGCACTTTATGCCTAACTGTGTGAGAACCAGGTGTAAATCAAGATTCTAAGAGTTAAAACTGCTATTTAATTCACTCCTTCCCAATCTCCTTTCAAGAAGGATTTTGATTTTTTACCACCTTACAGCTAAAACTCAAAATGCCAAATGCTTTCACGTCCCACAGTTGTACCTCTAAACACAAGTATCTTCCCTCTATACTCTTTAAGCAAGTGTGTACAATTTGTCTATGTAACAGTAACAGGGATTGTCTTTTCAGAAACTTACTGGATTCCTAACTCATTTCTGAATGCCAGCGACCATAGCAAGTTCAACATCGCAGCCACAGCAAATGTGCGAGTAAATTATGAACAGCAGATCTTTGACAAGGAGAGAAGTAGTGACCTCGGGTGGCAAGCCAGCATCCTTGCAAAAGTAAGCTCATGCAAAACGAGCAGGTGTATGAGGAAGCTCTGAATCCCAAGACCCAGAAGTCATCGCCAAGGGAAAACAAAAATTTGCCACAGCTTAACAGTGCTTTGTGCAAGGTGACAAAATGTGAAACCGATAGAACAAAAAATATGCAATAAAAAGGACACAATTCTGGAAATTTTTATACAATGTACAGTTTTGCAGAAATTTTTTTAATCCAGACGAAACAAAGATACTTACTCATTGACTTCATACACAAACCGTTTTAGGATTGTCAATAGCAAGACTCTGACAAACATCTGTAAGAGCAGGGAAACTGTAAAAGCTAGAAATCTGGGCTTTACTAATGATATTTCACCTACATTTAACTGTAAGTTGGTAAAAAAGTTCACATTGGGGGAAAGATTCCCATGAAAGGCAGGCAAATTTACCTAGTAACTTCTGTGATTCTCAATCCATCCACTAGAGGAAAAAATTATATAAACGCAAGTCACACTGCTTTGGCTCCTGCAATGAAGTAACTCACTAAATACCAAATATTGAGACTTCTGCTGCCTGATCTTTCCATAAAGTTTCACTGTCAATGCACTTTTAATACTGGAAATAGCCCTCTAGCCAACTAAGCTGCCCTCTGTGCTCTTCCCTTCCCTGTTACACCAAATAAAATCTGTACAGATTTTTCCTAAAAATATCTTTTTCCTTCATTTTCTTTCGGGTCACGTTGATTATTCTTCCCACCACAAAACCCACCCAGTTGGGAGAGCTGCCGTCCCACTGCTCTGAGGGTTTTGTAGTGGGATAAGCCTGCATCTGAACTATTCACATGCCCTTTTCAGTTGTGAATCCCACCTTCTGAGCGTTTGTGAAGAGTGGGAGAAGAGGGGAAGGTAAAAGGACACAGGGGTAACTGATAGGAACAATCACAGGGGCACATTAACTTCTTTGGCTACGGTATCACACACCTGGGACTGACTGTCCACACCCCCCTTTCATCTCGTCCGTGTCCCTAGGAAGACAGGAATCTTATAGTCATTGGCATGGTCAGAATTTAAGTGCATTCAGTTGCATTAACACTTGACAGGACAAGCTAAGGCCAACCAGGTGTGCCAGTATGCCTTTACTGTGCAGTGGTTAAAAAAACCCAGTTTCATTCACAAATATTACATTTCCCATCAAATATTTAGATTACCGATGAACTTTTATGAGAGAACTTTTATAGTTCAAAGCTCTACACATAAAAATATGCATATTGTGTCCTTCTCTTGAAAATGTCACACAAGGTTATTAATTCTGAAACTTGTTTTAAAGTAAAATGGTCAGGAAACATTTAAAGAACAGGAACTGTCAATACTGAGGTACTGACAGTGAGTAGTTAAGCTTCATTTGCTCTGGCTCCTCTAAGGTCACCATTTTTAAGAGACTTGTGAGGTTAGCAGCGTTTTCATGCCAGCAGCTCACTTTTGGACAATTCAGCAGCCACTGATTTATTTCATGGGACACAGGTTCATCCAGACCTTCTCTGAGAAATACTGACACTTAAAAAAAGTCAGTAACATCTGCAACTGAATATATCATTTCCAGGTGACAAAATAAAAGAAAATAAACTGAAAACAATGGCTAACCTTGCATGAATCATTTCAGATCAGATTTCACTGTTTTTAAGAAAGCAGTTAACAAGATCTAGGTGAGTATTTTCGTAGCCTAGTAAGGTTTTGGAGTCTGAGAATAAAATCCAACAGTACAAAGCACCATACCTTCTGTAAATCACAGAAAATAAAACCTTCCTGAAGCATGTGACACTACTGTAGTTGTACTACAGTACTTGTACAGATGCTGTTAGGAAACTGGATGATTACCTTAATGAGAGATCAGGAATTCTTTGGATATACTCAGTACCACATTTTGTGTATAGAAAAAGCAGATTTTCACACAGGTGTGATTAAAAAAAAAAATCAAGATTAGCCTCTCCAGTGTGACATGCAATGTTCCTCTCTGCCGTGAAACTGGAAGGGAGCCGAGTACCTTCCCTTAATTCTGAAACACAGACCGAAGTGTCACGGAAGGTACTTACTGGCTGAGGCTTGAGGTTGAATGCGAGGTATTCCTCCATTTGGCACTTGGAAGTTTGAGTCACTTCTGCTGTTTTTCACAGACTCTGCTTGGATGCTCGATGTCCTGGACAGGTTTGGAAGACTACGCCTTAGTTTTTCTGTATGGAACAATGCAAAGATACCACGTGTCATCTGATGCGGGGCACAGTCCAGGTTATGAAGCCAGAGTTGAAACCCAAATCCAAGGGACAAAAATGTCAGCCATATAAAACTACCCTGCAATTTAATAGCCTATTTTGTTACATTACGTTTCTTCCATTATCTTCAGTTAGAGTTCTGTACTGATCTCAGACCTATCATATACAAAATATTTACATAAAAAAGCAAGAATGTCTGTTTTTCACCTGTGGTAAAAAAAAAACAAAGCCCAGCGTGTTCTGAAATTGAACCATACCTGGATTATCATCCTCTGGGGTTTGGTCTACCATGACAGGAATGGAATAGGCAAAGCTAATTTGCAGTTTTGCACCCTTTTGGAAGTATTTGCCTACAAAGTTATACTATAGAATGCTTGCCTGAAGATTAAAAACACATGGTAATTTTTGAACCAATTTTTAGGACTACCCAGTGCCATACCAGCACATCATACAACAAACAACAGCCACCGACTTGGAGAGAAACTCTTCACACACAGCATTCAAAAATTATTGAAATGTCCAGTTATGCTTCATCTTTCATGTATGGTCCGACTACTTATTCAGCTCATACTGTTTTTTTAAGGGTCTTTAAAATTTGTACCATCGCTCACAGAACACAAAAGGATGCCATTAAATCTCTCTCAGGTCTAATGACATTCTGTGTATCTCCAACCCGTGCGGAGCTGGACGGATGACATACTCCAGACAGACAAAGTGGCCAACCTGACTCTGTAGAGGGCTGCAGGAAAGAAGTACGAATTCCTTGGAAGTGTTTCAGAAACGCATGATCACACACTCTATTTTGATCTCTCTGGTATGTGGGATACCAGCTTTTAGTACCTCGCCTCTCATGGGATATTTCTAGCATGCATTAGGAATTCCCCACGAAGTCACAGTGCAACTGATCAGCTTTCGCGTTGTACATTTCCTACACACCTAAAGTTTCCCCAAACCACAGTTTACTAGATGAGACTTAACCTAACCCTTACAAAGGTATTCTTGAAGAGCTAATTAAATTTGCAGGATCACCTTCCTCAAAAGTGCTATCCTAGCACGCTGGTTTTCCTGATTAAAATTCTAAAATGTCGTGGTCACTGAAATTCTCTAAGTCTACACGAGGGGGAAAAACACACAGAAAAGAAACAGTTTAAAAAAATGCATTCCTATTGCAGACACTTTGCATCCAGCTTACCTGAAAGATGAAAAAATAAGGTGAATTCTTAATACCTAACTATACATTATTTCTGAAGTGAAGATTTTATTTGCCCAATAACTGCATTTGTTAAAATGGGAATACCCTTCTGAAATTTCAACCCAATTAAAGGAGTTTCTGCCCGACTGCTACCAGGAAAAAGTACATTGAGGAAGGAAAATCAGATCAGAATACGATGTTTTGTTCTATGCCAACACAGCTTAACCGCACTGAGTTTACTGCAAGCTGTATTTTTCACTACACAGCTGTTTGCACAGTTTTGTGATACCTAAAGTATCCAACAAAGGCATGACTTAAGCCCTATTATTTTTAAGGCTGTATTCATGATCAAAGAGCTGAGAGTCCTGCAGTGCCAGAAGAAAACATTCAACTATCTCACAGGTATGCATAAATTGTTACGTTACTCTTCTCTGACCACAGTGACTTTCTCTGCATTTTATTCTGTCATCTGCAAGGCCTAACCCTGCTGGTGAACGATGGTTTCCCTTGGGCTCTGCTTCATTTTACTGCATTTGCCTGCCAAAACCAGAACCCGGTCACCGTGAAACTCAATTACAACCCAGAGCGACTGGATGACACCTCAAATAAATACAGGCCTATCGACTCAGCTGATTGTAAGGATTCCCCAGCAGAACTTAAGCTTTGCTTGCTCTGCTTGTACGTCAACAGCTCTGAGAGGAGACCATGACGATACAGAGCCATACAGTTTTAGCACTGCACACTGACCAAAATCCTTTGCAGGAATGACAAGTACTCGCTTAATGAATTTGAGACCAAGCTTTTTACCTTCACTTTTGACACTACTAGTCTGCAAATCCGTAGGATGGCCCTGAAGTGAAAGACGAGGTTGCTGTAAACGGCTGATCATAGGCTGGGGCGACACTCGACTGTATTCTATGCTTCGAGCAGGAGATCGGGAGCGAGGTGAATTCCTTGGAGATTGTTTTGGTGAAGGCCAGGGAGAACTGCGAGGTGATGGCGAGAACCTGTTAACAGCAGGGTGCACTGTGTGATGCGTGCCATCTTCCTCATCTTCTAAACTCTGCGCATCCAGCTCCTGATCGCTGAATGTGCCTCGCCTTGTAGAATTGCAGGAAGAACCAGAACTGCGCCGAGACGCGGTCGCTGCATACTCTTGCCGGAGGCCTGGCAACGAGGAGAATATTGTTTACTTGCTTCCAGCCCACAAATGGTTCAAACCAGAGACAGTGCATACAGATATCTACCCCAGTGCTCAAACTCACGTTTGGCACGCCTTTTATTTGAGATATTAAATTAATTCCATATTAGTACCAATAATGTCTTAAAATAAGTAGGTGAGCTCATTCCTTTTCCTCCTACAGCAACCATCAGCATAGGTGTGTTGTGCACTTGTTCCTCTCCTCTCCCAGGCTGGATACTCCCACACAGGCTACATGTCAATTTTGGTATCCTGTGACATCCTATAACAGTTACAGTGGCTACAATGAAGTGTTTCCTCCAATGTATCAGTAAATGTAACAAAAAAGCTGCATGATGAGAGAAACTGGAGTTGTTTAGACTAGTGGTCTCCAAAGCGGGGTGCACACATCCCAGGGGATACGCAAAACAACCCACTGGGGTGCAGGAAGTTCGTTCTGTACTACTAATAAAATAGTATTTCTAAATGAGTATTTATTTCATCTTTATCTCATCCTTTTTAAGTTTCTATTTTTGTGTACATTTGTGTATTTTTTGTGTAGATAATATACTAGTAGAGTAGTACAGGTATGTAATTTATTTAAGAAAATAGATATATAGGGGGTTTGGGATTTTTTTCACTGGTGGGTAGACAATAGAAAAGTCTGAAGACCACTTAGACAACTGAGATTACTACCACTCTGCAGTCCCAGCGGGACAAAATGACAAAGCCTCAACCAAACCCACAGTAAAAGAGACGTCCACATCAGTGTTTTTCTCCACTGTTCTTTGCCATACTGACCTTACATTTTGGCAATTTAAAATCATGGTTAAAGCACCGAGGCCAACAAGACTGGATTTTGTTGGGAAGGCACCGATCTCCTGAGAAGACTGGTGGCAGGCAGTAGTCAAGTCTAAACCATCCTTTTAGCATATATGCTAAAAAAAACATACTCTCCTCAGCATTTCTTTTGTCCTCTGTTCCTGAAGAATACTTCTGCACAGCAACTTCCTTTCCTCATCCTGGAGGCAGAAAGTCCCTAGCCAGCCTTCTTGGGAGAAATATGTTTGCACATCCATAGTAGCATCTACACCCCTTTTCCATTCCCGCTGAGCAAGTGCTCAGCGGAGCAAGTGCAGTGATTCAATAAAAAAAAAAAAGATCAGCTGCTCCACTTCATTATCAGGATGGAAATTACTTACTTTCTTCCTGCATGCGTGCTAAAATCTGCACATCTGTAACATCATTTAGCTTGTAATTAGACCCAATAGAGTCTTCATCCATCTCTGATGCACTTAATTCACTGTCCAGAGAAGACTGTGGACTGAGTGGAGGATTTCTATCTGCTGAACTTTTAAGATGACCTATAGAAAGAAAATAAAGTAATAGAAAATGTTAAAAATAAAACAAAAAAGGCAAGCTGGATTTCCTTTCCTAGCAAAAGGACCATCAGTCTGAAAACAGCTGATGACTGAGACACTGCGTCTGACAGACCATTTGAAACATTTGATTGCGAACCTCAGCTGAAAATACAGTTTACAGAAGCAGAGCTTAGTCTTTACCTTCTAAAATTGAGCTACTTTTTTATAAAATCATTACAGTCATGGCAAAGCAAATTAGTGACATATAACCTGGTCTACCAGTGCCAAGTTTCAACTGCTGTGAAGTCTGCACAGCTCCTTCTGTAAGGGCAACTGCGGACCGGTTCCACTTGTGCTTTCATTCTCGTCTCTGCGCACTACCTACAAACTAAGTTTGACCATGTCTTTCTTGGCATTAAGGACTTGCTGATCCAATGAATATTGATTCAGTTTGGAATGCTTAAAATACAGTTTATCTGAAAATACTACCTAGTATAACATCCCAGCAAGCTACGGATAGTGGGGTTGTCAGTGCAATGTTTTTTCATCTTCCCTGTGAGCTAACTTGAGTCACAGTATATATAAGAAGCCAACGTTCTGACATTAGACATATGTTCCAGGCATCGATTTTTCTGATGCAAAGAAAGTGCCAATGGTGAAGAAGGAAGGCAGCAAACATTGCTGGAAATCAGTGTTTACACTGATGATTGGAAAGCCTCAAGAAACGCCTTTAATTAAAATACATGCTTCTTCCTTAGATTATGTTGTTTATCTCTCAGCAGTACTGATGGATACGTTGCACACCAAACGTTTCAGTTAATAAGCAATAGGGTAGTTGCAAAGACTTTACAACTACCAGCACCTAACCTCTGAACACTTACTAGGCAGCTTACACCCCAGTCCATTACAGGGTCAATTCTAGAAGCCACTTATGCACGTGGGAACTCCACAGAACTGACACTGTGTGTTCTGGTCCACCTGCTAGTATGAACCAGTCAGTGTTCTCTGGGGCACAGCCAGCCTAGAAAACATGTAACATGTATCTCACGCCAGGCAGCATGTAAGGAAGCCTTTCCTAAAAAGCTTGACTCCTGCAGGATGCCAAGATCCTGCAAAAGACTGATGGGTTTTTGGTGTCTTACTCTAGTTCAATGTAAATGTACTCTGAACACAAGTTTTTGAAAGGAAGAGACCAGACCCTCACGCACTTACCTGAGGTACCAGGAGGTATAAGCTGTTTCACTAAAGCAGACTTCACTGGTGTTGAGGAGGGAGAGTTGAAACCACTGCTGTAGGGGCTGCTAGTATTTGGGCTGTAGGAGCTTGCATAGCTGACCGCAGTGAAAGGACTGCTGTACAAACTCTGTCTCTTGAGAGCTGTACGGAAAGAGAGGCAAAGTGACAAATTATACTGAAGGGGCCAGTGAAGAATGAATACAATGTGATTTAATTACTACACAATTTAAAGTAGAACATGGCAGTCACCGGAAGTTTTTCAACATTTCTTCATCGCCTAGATACAACTGTGAAAAGAGTGGGAGAAGAGGGCAAGGCAAGACAGCAACAAACATCTTCCTTGCAAAAATCTAAGATCACTACAGCTGATCTCTTCAAGATGTTCAATGTAGGCCCTGGAGAGGAGGAGGGAGGCAACTCGAAAGACAGCAGTAGCACAGCTACACTCACATACATCCCACGCACAGCTACATACAAACCAGAGCACACCACGAAGTCTACTTCTCCAGAATCCACAGGCCTGTCCAGATCACACCGTATTTCAACAGTAACCCCAGACTGGCACCACAGAACTAAGCAATACTACCTACAAAATTCCCCAAAGCTTATGTTAAAAGGAAAAACCATTAAGCATGGCAAATGCTTCTGGTTATATTTCTGGGTGCCATGAACCCTAATACAGCAAACCGTCTGCAGGATTATTTCCTTCTCTATGGCTCCTGTCCTACTGTTTTGGGATTTTTGTGTCCATGGGCTTCAACCCCACATAAGATCTAAACCCAGATACTTTCCTCTGCTATTCATTGCAAATATTTCAATGCTCAAATATTTTTAGATGAATTTTAACCTCCAACAAACATTTTCAGTATGATACTGCAATTCCTCTAGTTGCCAGATGTATGATTTCTCTAGTTACTTTTATGACTATTTTGTTCAGAAATTTAAAATTTAATATATCAGAAAATGGAACTTCAATGGGACAAAGTGAGAAAAGGAAATTTGGTCACTTCCAGTAAAATCTGTTCCTTCATTGCTGACAGCATTTTATGCCAGAGTTATATATTAACAAAGAACAAATTAAATTGCAAAAGATTAAACTGAAAGCTAGAGATCTAAACTTTACGGCATGTAAATCTAGATTAGATTAAGTTGCAGCCTACCTAGCTGCTAGAAACTGAACTCTAAGGTGTGACAGTACTGAAACTATGCATACACATTATAAACTGACAAGAATGGGCATAGCAAATGTATGGCAACACACTCAGGTGGTTATAAAAAAAGGAAGGGCAGAAATTAAGCTCTTCAAAGAATATTGTGTGACATTTCTGTTACTGAAAAAGGGCTCCAATTACTGAAGTAATAATTAGACTACTGATAATAGTGGGCAAAAAAGGGGGAATTGAACTCTGTTCTACTGTGCCAGACAAATCGGCATTAATTCGTTTACTAAAAATGCTTTTAGTCAGTGTCAGAATTGTTTGTTTTGCCATCACAAGAAGCCAAGAGACTCAGTTGCATGAAACGCTGCTTTCAGCAGCATCCTCCTTCTCACCCTACTTTGTTCCTGGTCACTACCTCCTCAGTTGTTCCATACAGGCAATGGTGGGGCTGTGCTATTATCCAGCCCACGAGAGTGGATGTGGGTTAAAAACACCCAGAGTACCTTAGCTGATTGCACCAGTGAATTTTTTTTTTTTGGCACTACTGAAAACAAGTATCATCCAGCCAAATGGATGGCAGAACGCAGCACAGGGGCAGGAGCAGCAGAAACTGAAGTTGCCTTTCAAGTATTTTAATTAGAGTGACAAGACAGTTACAGATAAAGGATGGAAAGTTTATATTCCAGCTTTCGCTGCAAGTCTTAAGTGATACACACTGATTTCCGCAATCAGTGAATTCTAGCAAGTATTCTTGAGGTACCTCCCGTTTATCTGAGTGTCAGAAGGGAAATATCTTTTGTTACAAAGCTTGGTTAACAAAACGCAGAACTGCAAGCCAGCTATATTCTGGTTGACTCTGATGAGAACTCCTTTGACAGCAAGTTCTTCTGGCATTCACACAGGAACCCCACAGCATCTATTCCAACTAAAGTCTTGTTCTCGTGCCAAAAAAAAAAATTTACTTTTAATCTCTTGCCAAAAATGACAGCAAAAAAACTCACCCTAAAATGTAAGTCTGCACCACACTTTATTTCGTACTTATTACACAGACAAACATTTTAAAATATTAACCACAAATTAGGAAACAATCGTAGCACTGTACAACCTTCAAAGCAGGCTCTTTGTACATCTCCATGATGATACAAAATATTTGATCACACAGAGATTTCTTTAGAACAAAAAAGCATACTTTTGATACATATAAAAAGTATGCTGTGGTACATGATAAACTTTATATGGTACAGCAGGTTTCATCCTAGCTAATGTGAACTCCCACCTTCCTCAGTGCTGTTTTCTCCAGAAAAAAAAACTGGATTCAAACAATTGTCTAGTCTAGAATTCCTAAAGTTTTTCCAACAGGGATTTCTGTAACTTAGGAAAACATTACTATTTTTCAACAACTAGAGATACTAGGAGTATCAGACAACATTAGTAAGACAGGTAACTCATTTTAATGTTGAAATGATGCTATACTAGATGAAAAAATAGCTTACAGAAGATTGCACATTAGCTTTCCAAACACCAAAGGGGAAGGTTAATGGTCAACATTTTTATTTTAATGTAAATTCTTTTATACCATTCAGAAACAGTATACAACATCTAATTTTAGTAATGTTTGGTTAAATTGGTCTTGAATCTCTCTTTTGCTCTAGAAAAGAGGAATAGAAAAATGTGAGTGCAAAAGACTCATGCTGAGGTGGTCCAGAAGATCTACTGTATGAATCAGGTCTGGTTTTTCCAATTGCTAGACATGATAATTATTTTTGTTATGATTAAGTGACGAATTTATTCCACCAGTCCCAGCAGTAATTCAAACCAATCATTAGCGAGAGCTCTCACTGAGACCAAAGCTTAGCTAAATAACTGCTGGTTTCAAACAAGCTCAACGCGTAACTGAAAAGTCAGACTCACTCACCATGGAAAAGATCACAGTTTTTATACATGCAGCCACACAGCTCTCCTCCCAGCTAGGCCAACCACGCATTTGATTTCAACTGTTTAAATAAAAATGCTGTCTCAGTAAAAACTGCAATATGACCAAAGTTACCCTTCTCTAATTCTGTGCAAGCGTGTCTTTAGAAAGCATCTCTTCCAGAAATTCTCCCGCCTAGTATTTCTCTGCTCCTGCAGCTGCTTTCTTGATTTTCAGACCACCGTGTGGTAGAAGCCATGGTTTCCAGCCAACACAAAACAAGACTCTTGCAGTTCTCACCAGGGACCTGAAGCATGGCTAAGAGATATCTGCACCAGAATATACCCAAGGTTCTCTCTAGTCTGAACATGCTCCCAGCACCGAGCAGGACTCGTGCGACTGTAAAGCTGAACTAACCAGCGAGAAGGTGCTGTGCCTCCCGTGTTCTCAGGAACTGCCCACAGCAGCACGGAGCTGAAAGCTCCTCTGCCCTTACCACACAATGGGAAACATTACAGAAGAGGAAAATGTGGAATACAAGAGTGCATTTGAGAATGAGAAACAGCAAAAAGGTGCTAGATTAGGAAGACATAACAGGAACTGACAAAGACAAAATAGCCAAGGCACAAAACATCAACAAGGATTCAGTAGAGAAAGTAACAGTAGTATGAAAAGCCTTATCTGTAGAGACTGGAACTGATCAACTCCGAACAAGTAACTAGTAACTGGTTAAGCAATGGGTCCATGGATACAAGGGAACATACAAGTCACAAGATATCCTAGAAGCTGTGGGGCAGGAAACACACAAGGTTACGAGCAGCACTTTTGCCTTCTCCAGTGGAGCTTCCTGCTACCCTACATCTGTAAGGCTGGGTGCTCTGAAAGATGATTTTCTTCTTTGCTACAAACCCATTTTTCCATGCAATCTGCTCTAACCAGCAGTGTCTAGTTCCCATCTCGTCTACCAATAATATTTTCCTGTTGTTCCTACAGAGGAGTTGCAGTATTCTTGCAAGTATCACTGCCAGAGACAGACTCTCAGGTCTATGGGAAAAAAAAAAAAAGGAGGTAAAGTTGCCTACACACATCATCCGAATCATAGAATCACAGAATGGTTTGGGTTGGAAGGGACCTTAAAGACCATCCAGTTCCAACCCCCCTGCCATGGGCAGGGACACCTTCCACTAGACCAGGTTGCTCAAAGCCTCATCCAGCCTGGCCTTGAAGACATCCAGGGATGGGATCCCTGAAGACATCCAGGGATTGATCAAACTTTGTCCATTTCACAGAAAAGCTTCCTGCCACCCTGCCTCAACTATGACTGAATTTTGAAGGATACCCTAAGGGTAACAGAATTTGTGGTACTTCTGGAAGATTTCTACTCAGTTCTGAAAAAAAGTTAAACCATGAACAGAATCGTTCATGCTTAACTGCTATCCAATCCAAAATACTCAGCAGTATTCAAACTCCCAAACTTGTATCATCATTCATAAATCCCTGGGATCCAGATACTTTTCATTGTTTAGGATTTCAGTCTTTGCCCGTAGCAAGCTATGTATCACAGTAACTGTTCAGGAAAACTGTTAGCAGAGGTTTGTCAAGGCAACATACACAAAGCACAAGAAGTAGGGAAGCTCAAAGGTGACTCATACTGAAGGCACTTTAACCATTATGCCCATGATTTTTATAAGAAATGGACTTTTCATGTGATCTACCAGCAAGGTTTTCAAATTCTATTAGAAATTATTTTAATACAAACCAGAATAAAGACTGAATTGCTCCAGGAAAGAATCCAAGAAGGGGAAAAAATTTATAGTCAAACTCAGCACAAAGTTTATGTGTAACCATGTAAAGGAGCTGATAGTTGGGAACACTCCTGGAATTGTGTGGTCACCTGTCCTTAGCTCAAGTTCAGCCATTCTGCTAATTCCTGAAAACAGCAGTTAAAAAAGATAGATCACACATAGCACAAGACTGCAAAAAGATGGAAATACAGGGAGAGAATAGATACTAATAGCAAGAGAGTTATGTCTCAGTATATAAAAAAAGCTCTAACAAAGAAATTAAAATAAAGCAAGAAACCAGATGGACACACAATTCTAATCAGACCTTCAGCATTTTGCTGCTGGTTTGACATCAAAAAGGCTGGGAACAAAAGGGTGGAGAATGTAGGCTTCCATCCTCACAGGGCCAAAGCTGAGTCCTTCTCCAGTTGTGAATACAACCAATTAATTTGTATCAAGGAAGAATCATGAACTCTGGTTTTTTTTTTTTAATCTGACTGCGACAAGATCTTAAGTTACAGGGCATGGGACGAAAAGACATCAGTATTAGCTCCCCAAAATATTCAAGAACTTCAGCCTTCATTTCCACAGATGAAGTAAAATAGTTCATCTAGCAGAAAACTAAGTTCCACGTTAACATACTGACAAGCACCGAACAATTGTGCTATTTTAAAATAACAGAAACCTGTATTAAACTAAGACAAGAAAACCTCCAAGTTAAGGACATTGTTTCTTCCTGAAAACTTCCGACCAAACTGTAACCATGCAAGTAGTATAAAACTCCAAAATCATGACTTGTGGTCTATCTAATGCTTCCTTTCATTTTATTCACACAGTGCAGAAATTCAGTAGAATGAATTACAGTTTGCAAACCATAATGAAAACACCAAGACAGAGCTACCTGCTGGATCTCACCCTCTTCTCTCACAACTATCTATTAGCTAATTCTGACTGTTAAGAAAGATGCACAACCTGGTGGGGTTAGCGTGCAGGAACTCACCTGACATTGTCTGTTCCAGCCTGTGGATCAGCGACTTTTTAGCACTTTCAATGTCAGGACTGGGGTAATCCAATACCTGCCTGCACCAAACTAACGGGCTGACACATTTTTTTACTGGACTTGGTTTCTTCTTTGGGGAGGTATATAACCTGGAAAGGAGAAAAAAAGAAATCTGTAAAGACAGACAAAATGAGCATAAGATCAGGGGCGTAACAAAACATCACACGGTATGCTAATTCTATTTTTATACTATATCTACACTACAGTCCCTAATATACAGAAAGCACAAGTTTTACCTTTAAATTAACCATTTTGGATATAATACTGATAACACATGTCTACCCAAGGACTTCTGGCAGAAAAAGCGATGCCTATGTTGCTATAGTGGGGTATGCCGACAGATAGGGCAGAAACAAAACTGCCTTCACTTTCCAGACACATTAGTGAAATTGTCCCTATACCTAATCACATAAATCTGAAAAGATGAATCCTGATTTGTACATTTAAGTAACATTCACCCGGAAGAAGGAAATAAAGCACTATACAAAATGCGACTTTTTCCAAAGCACAAAGATGTAGCAAGTGATAATCATCTCAATAGGCAAGGAACAGTGCTGAAGTGCACAGAATGCGTCCACTATTTCAATATCCTTGAATAAGATACATTTTATTTTTACTTACAATTTGTATCCTAGCACCTGATCCTTTAATTTTCCCTTTGAACACAGAACAAAGGGACTCTGTCCTAAGGGGTCAGAGCACTAAAAGCAAGGAACAAGAGATAATGCACCTAGGGTAGAGAGAAACAATGGGACCATATTGTTCCTCAGGACATGCTGAGGCCTTTGCCTGTCAGCACCTCCATTCATTTATTTAAACATCAGCATTCCACGACTGAACGAATTATTCCAGTTTAAAGGGATATTTAAACCTTATATATATTTAGTATGGAACCAAATTTGCAAATGTTCTTCAGCAAAAGACAACAGTAAACTGCAAGATCTGCAGCTCTACCCAGAGCTTATGCATATGCAGAAATAGTTAAAATGAGTGTTTCTTTCAGGAGTAATGAGAGACTTCATACTCCCAGTGAAAATGGTTGTACGCTACACACTAACTTGGGAACATCTGACTGCCTCATCAGCCGTGCTTCCTTACAAGACAGACAGCAAAAAGTTTGTTTCCTTTATACCAATGATATCAGCAACACAGAAGTTACTTCCCACAGTTTTAAAGAGATTATTAGCTAAGCCTTCCCCTGTAATTCTAGAGCTTGAACTCAGTTTGTTTTATAAATAGCTTTAAAAGATTTTTTTTTTTTAATTACTACCCTTAAGGTCATGGCTCACAAAAGCTTCCCAAGAAGCATGCTTATAAAACCATCCCGAATATCTCACCCAAAACACTGATCTCACTTTGTTTACAGCATGCTCATAAACACTGACATTAAAGAGCTACGTTTGCAAACGCAGGAGAGAGGATTTTTATTAGCTGCCAGATTTTCACACAAAAATAAAGCCGTCAGTAACAATGCAAATAGCCAGGGCCACATACTATAGTGCGCGTGGCTTACACTCTGGCCAGTATCCTGCTGGTGGTTAAACCTGAAATTGTAGAATCCTTACCATCGTCCTAAGTACTCTGCCCACAAGAAAAGCTAGAGCCCACCACATATTTATAGCCCTGAACATCCTTGGAAAGCACAAGAATCGCTGTTTTTAGAGTTCTATGTAAACAATTACACAAATTGCTGTACTTTCTGCAATTACCTGCTTATAGTTAAAAGCACTCTAAGATTCACTAACTCGCCAACATTTTGAATTTACTGTCTTTTTACCATTTATTTGCCTGCACTCTTTTCTGTCCTGAGGTATGTTACCCAGTACAAAGAAGTGTCAAAGGCAAGAAAGCCAACTTGTGTGCTGTGCAGGCCAGGCTCACCCGCAGCTCTCTGGATAGCTGACATGCCTTGCCGCGTTTAGAAGTTTGAAGTGTTTACAGTAATACCCACTACACTGGCAAAGAAATTAAAGTGTATGTCCTCTTTGAAAGACACTCAAAAGGGATATCTTGAACAAACCTACAAGACTAGTCAAAATGGCACCTGGTATTTTAAGTTCCGAGACATCCTTTTCTGCAGTTTCCCGTTGTCGCATTTGTGTCACAAGTAGTGTATTCACTGAAGCAATCCAGGTTCACATAGCTCCCGCTTTTCCACCCGCCCTTGTAACCAAAGACATACTGCAGATTCTCTTACACTTTTCCAGCCAAGGTTTTTTTCCTTTAACAGCCTTTGTTTCACACCTTACATTTCAAGGAGAGACAGAACTTCAGAATACACCCATTGCATGCGATTCCACTCCCTCATGACAAGCATGTGCATCGATGCAGTACACAATGACTCTTTCAGGACAGCTTCTTGCACATCCTACAACTACAAAGTCTCATTATTATAAAGCAGTGATCTTAATTCTCCGTCTGACAAAGAACAGACCATCTCAAGTTTTGAAACTGATGTAATTCTACTTGCTTTGCCCAGTTTGGATTAAAAAAAAAAAAAAAAAAGACCAAGGGCAAGGCTAAGGATTGGAGTGATGCTTCTACTACTACTTCCTCCCTTCTCAACAGGAGGAGGGAAAAAGAACAACAGGGAGACCATGAAGTGTGCACAAATAACTTCATGCAGCTAAGCAATCTTTATCAAACTACCGTCTGACCCAACCGATGCAGGTCCTCCTTAGCTGAAGGGCTTTCCAGAAGAGATGCATTCCCCTTTGCACCTGTTAATGCATTTACAGCAATGCAACAGCACTGACTGGCAGCACGGCAGGACTGAAGATACACCAGTATGACTTCATACATCTTTGAATGCTACTAAATCACCTTCTCAAAGCAGGAAGTTGAAAACGATTGAGGAAGCTGACAGCTTAGTTACCACCCACAGTACAAATGCTAACACACCAGGAAACCACTCCAATACCTGCACGAGAGAGTAAAGGCTCTACAATTCAGTGACACGAGGTCAAGTAGAATCAAACAGTATATAAAAAGCAGCCCAGGAGCTTCGATCTATTTTGAAACATTAAGAAGCCCAGACAGGCGGATTCTGCTGCACACAGTAGTATTTCCTTCCTTCAGCTGTCACCAGTCAGCTATGGCACAGCAGCACCAATCCGAAGGTTAGGACAGCCAGGGGCTCTACTGATCAGTTCCAGGGAGACGCAGCACAAGAAGGGCAGAGCTTTTGCAGACAGACCGCTGTCACCACGAGCTCGTACCGTAACAGCAGCCAAACGAGGCAATCCATCACATGTGGGGATACAGCCGGGGGGAAAAGGCTTTGAACAACGAGGACCCAACATCGATGAAGGAGTGGAGTATCGGCATAGGGATTACCTCACCTGAGGAACACCTCCCACTGCATTCAAGTACAAGAGGCTAGTTGCCACAGGCATGAAACCAGGAGCCAAGATTTAATTGGGATGAAAGGCGACGGCTTTTTGTACCGAAATCCTTCTACTGCTCCAGTACAAGAGTGGAAGGAAAAACGCGCAGATGAGAATGAAGTCAGAGATCTGAATTAGAAAGATGGCACGTGGAAGGAACAGAAGTTAAAGCTCGTTTATTTTAGCCACGTTCGCTTTAAGGGAAAACTGGCAGGTACAGCAGAGGCGATGAAACAAGACAGTGGACAAAACATTGCAGACAAAAAGGAGAATTGAGAAAGCAACTTGAAGAGATGATGTGAAGAAACAACAGAAATCTATGGGCAGATCATTTAAGAAATTCCCTTAAAATACAGGAGGGAAATCCCACAAGGAAAAGCTAATAAAGCAAATACATCAGAAGACAATAATACTGGACAGTCTTGGAAACAGACCATTTAGAACAGTGTCAAGCTAAACTTTTATATCAATTAAGCTTTCAGAAGATCCTATTTGGAGCAATTTAAATAAATTAAAATTTAAGATGGATTTTGAATAAACAGCTACAGGTAAAGATTTGAACAGACTCTCTGGTTGAGAGGAAAAAAAAAAAATCAAAAACTAAGTGACATCCCTGCACACACCTGGCCCACAGATTTCCTCTTTCCTTCTCCCCCACCCTGCAAAGTTCTTATCCTGCAGTTGTAACTGACTGGGACACATAGTCAGCCTGTAATTACCAATTTGTTGGTGTACTTAACTGAATGCTTCTAGTTCTAAGCGATGCACAAGTTACAGCAAACTCCAGGTCTCTCAAAACCAAGGATGAGTACCACAAAGACGCTCTGACAATCTCATTAAACCTTCATATTGAAGCGGCATATCTCAGCTACATGATGTGATTTTCAAGGAGAGCTGACAGCGTTCAGAGAGGAGGCAAAGTGCAATTGGGAACACAACTACCTTCCTGTCACCAACAATTAAAGATAGTTACCTGTGCCCTGGCTAGTTGCTGGAAATTATAGCCATTACTCATTTCCTCATCTCAAAAGAACATGCTGCTGTCTGAAAGGGATGTTGTAGAACGGTAAGCAGGGCCTTGAAAAGCTTGGAGGACCCCTCTAACGCCATCACAGGCCTTCCTAGAACTGTCACACAAACTGTACAACTGTCCACAGTTGGAGAAGCTTTTCAGAAGGAACTTATTAGAACACTTATGCTCTGATGTGGTATTTTTGATACTTACATGGAACAGAGATGAGAAGTGCTGTGTCCTATTAAATGTGTTCCAAAACAAAACTCTGCTTAATGACTAGGCTTCAAGAGCTCTACCAACACCTACAAGAAGTGTGAATCATGTCTAAAAATGACACTTATGAAGTAAATCTCAGGAATACCATTAAGACAATAAAGGAAAATATCGAAGCTTTCATGACATCCAAATATCAAGCGTGTTTAAAAGTCAAATATCACAGGAGAAGTTAGAAATGGAAAAAAGTTCTTCCCCAGGATTCTTCCAGTCCTCAAACACACCAGTTCCAGAAGAAACATGGGTTTCTCAAAGACATTAGTCAAACGAAATGTTATTTGATGTAACCAGTTGTTTCCCTTGATAAACTCTTAACTTCTGTAATCCTTAGTTCTCCCACATGTTTCATTTCACATCATCTTCCTAGTCCGAGAAGACATTATCTGAATTTGGCTAAAAAACCCAACTGCTTTAA